ATGCTGTTCCATTTTATGTGTACAGATTTTTTTGGCCGTTTTTGTGTTCTTTGTGGATTGTATCTTTTGTAGTGTGCCCTTTTTTACAGTGTGTGCAGTTTCCCAGAATATATACTATTTTGTAATGTTACTTCAGTTCCTTTGTTACTATGTCTTTTTCCACTCTTTTCTATTAGAGGATATTTTTTTTTCCAAAATTATTCAGGATTGGCATTTTTTTGGTTAATTGAAAAACTTCACTGTCTAGGGACTTATGTACTTTAATCATTTTATTTTGAATTAAAATAGGTAAATATATGCCCTTTAATTTCTAAATGTCTTTCCTTTAAGTGCATTGAATGAATTCTGTGTCAGCCTGAACTGTATAAACTCTGTCTTTACATAATRCATCACCTAGGATTTCTAGTTTGGCACTTCTTTTAAGTAGAATTAGAATTTAATGGCATTTGTAAAGCAATCTTTGTACAGTAGTTGTTTTTTTTTTCTTTTAAATACYATTTCCTTAGTCTTTTTAGAGAGGTTTTGCCTACAACTTAATTGTATAGGAAAAAAATTTAGTATCTCTACTTAGTATYCACAAATCATTTAGGTCTATTGTTGAAGGAATAATTTTGTTAGATGTTTGTTTACATGTAATGAATTTAAATTTGTAAAATGGTGGGTTGGAGCATCAGCCATGCCCTGCAACTATTTTAGATACTGGGGCTATAACTGACCATATTATAGAGGTCGTGCCCTCAGGTAGAACGTACTGAACACAGTGGAGCTGATGGAATAAGAACAGAAGAGCAGGGGCGGTGAAGAGGACAGCAGCACAAAAAAGGCTTCAGTGTTTCAGTATCTGAAAGTTTTTGAAGACAGTTTGTTTTACTAGGGTGTCCATTTCCATATAACATCTAATTGGATAATTTTTTAAACTAGATCTAAAATCTTGTTCTTGTAAAAGTTGAATTTATCTCATTCATATTTATTGGCATAGTAAATCTGTTGAAACCTAAATTCTGGCATATTTTGTATTATACTTGCTTTACTCTCCTTTTTTTTTTTTTTTTGGCCTATCTCTGTCTGGAAAGACTTAGTACCTGTACTTTTCCTTTTTTACCCCTTGRTAAAAAAGGAAAAGTACAGGTACTCACAGATTCAGGTACAATGGAATAGAATCCAAGATACTGAAATGGAAGGGTCTCAAAAGTAGATAATGCACCCTTAGATGTTGCAGAGGGGTATTCGTGATGATGTGAGCTTGCTTACTTCCTGTATGGCTGCTTTGCTCTGTCTGTATCCTTTCTTCTCTTTGTTGTTTTAAACTGTCTTCACAGACATTTTAAAGCTTGCAGTTCTTAAACTGTGGTCTGTAGATCCCCTTTTATAATAATGTTGACATAATTTGCCTTTCTTACTATATCAAGTTTTATGGATGGTGCAAAAACAAATCAAGGCAGTGGCGCCAAACTTAATAGTAGCAAACTTAAGTAATAGTAGTGAACTTAAATAATGGTCATATGTTCTTTATTGACAAGCAATTTGGTAAAACAAAACAAAAATATGAAAGAAAATTCCTGTCATGCTTGATTGTGCCATTGATGAAGCTAAAAATATTAATTTCATTAAGTCTTTGCCTTGAGTACACATCTTTTTACAATCCTTACCTTGAAATGGGTATATTTAGAAAGCGCAACTGCACACTAAACAAGAAGGAAAGCTAGTTCAGGGGGAAGTGCTTGCTGCCACAGTTTGAGTTACTGACTGCATCTACTACCTTTTTCATGAAAAAAATTACTTTTTCTTAAAAGAATAATTGAAAGACACACTATTCAACTTGTTTTAGTAGACACTTTGTAAATGATCAAGGTGAGCCTTGTGACTTCCCTGAGAACAGAAGCCAATGGTATTGTTGCCAGTAGCACAGTTCAGACTTCTAAGCACAAGTCACAGCTCTGAGCTCGCCGTTGCCGTCTCTGTGGCCCACTACCAAAGAGTGTTCTAAGGAGATCAATGACACTCACAAACATGACTTTGTGATGAAATAACTAATACATGATGTTATAAAATCACCCACGTGAAAAAGGTTGTTTTAAGATGCACGATAGACTGTAATAGAGAAAATGATTTTTGATATAGTTGTAGGTTTTGCAGTGTGATTAACCTTTTTTTTTTTTTTGTGGTTCTGGTGATTGAACCCAGGGCCTTGAACATGGAAGGCAAGCACTCTACCAACTGAGCTATATCTCCAGCCCTGATTAACTTTTAAGAAATCGTCACTTGTTGAGGTTTGGTATAATATCAAAGAACAATATCCACAATGATATGAAAAGGTTATAAATAAGATACAGTCCTCCTTTTTCAAGTATAGCTCTAAACTAGGCTGGATTTCTTCTTATACTCCAACTAAAACAACATGTTGTGAGAAATTCAGTGCGGAAGCGGGGTAAGTCCAGCTGTCTCCTCTGAGTGGCAGAAGAGACTCAACATGTAAAGCAGTGCCACTTCTGTCGCTGCCTTCTATAGTGGGGCAGTGTAGTTCTTTTCCCTGAAATGCTGTCTGTTAACACTTAATAAGTATATTGTTTGAAGATGAATTATTAATTAAATATTTTAAACTCTTCTATTTTTAATTTCTTGTAGGATAAATTTCAGTAGCTATAATCCACATAAACAAAGCTTTTTGTGTTCTTAATAAGTTTTAGGAGAGTAAAGGTATCCCRGGCCTGAAAGTTTTAAGAGCCACTGATTTAAGGAATAGGAAGACAAAACGAGGCAGTTGGGATAGGAAAAGGGTCAGCCTTGCAGTTCACAGCCAGGTTCCCATTCTGGATCTGCTGTTTTCTAGTAGCAAATCATTTCATTTCATTGGGCGAATTTTAATTTAAGATAAATTTTAAATTTATTTGTAAAATGAGGATGATGAGGCCATTTTGCTGGAAGTAAGTAATTTGATTTGTCTTGATGTTTTGCATTAGATGTTACAGCTGCTTGAAATCATTCCTTAAAAAAGAGTTTGTGATATATAAAGTTTACTCTAAGAATCTAAAACCTTTTTCCTTGAGCCATTGTACATATTTTCAAACCATGTGTAAACTTAAAATTTTACAATTAGAAAAGCAGTAGAACTAATTCAGAACATTTACTTAAGCTTAAGACAGATGGTAATCCTATAAAAAGATGGCATATATTTTTGGAAGTGCAAACAGAAAAATAGATACTCTTAAAAATTCCAGAGTAATCTTTGCCTGGAAAATGTGAGAGAGAGATACAAGACCATATGGTCTAATAGAAATTTATATAGTTTCTAATGTCTAGGATTGAATTTTATTTCTTTATTACTATTGAGGTACATATGGATTGGTAGTTGAAAAGGAATAATTTTCAAGTAGATAACTACCAACTGCTTCTCCTGTGGCTGCCAGTCTTGGTATGGATGTGATAGTGGGAAGCAGAACTGTTTGAACCCCACATTTAGCTGGGTTAACTCAAATCTGAGTACTTACCACCTTGGAATTAGCTACTGATTGTGCTGTAAGGGCAGTTACACTCACCTAGTGATTGGGTAGAAGGTGGTATGTTGTGAGTTCACTGAGGACAGCTTAATGTAGATGTAGCACAGTATTTTTCAGTATTTTATTTTTTTCTGTCTTATTCAAAAATACAGTATATGACAGTAAGATGGTTTTAAAGTTGCTTTATTTAACAGAGAGGGTATTGCTGATCCCCCATAGGTTGTTTGATCTGAGTGGTTCTTACTAAGTATGTGTTCATACAGATTCTAGCTATAAACCAATCTAATGCTATCTATAACTGAAAGCAAATATTTGTCAGATCTCTCTCCTCTCTCACCTGCATCCTTAGGTTACCACTCTTTCTAATGGGTTCATGTTATAATTTATCCCTTCATCTGTTTCGCCTCTTGGATTAGGCGATCATAAATAATTTATTAGTCTTCAGGTAATCATACAGTACTGTCTGCGAAACAGGGGCTTAGTAAATGCAGAGTGAGTTAAGGACTATGATCAAAGTTCAAGCTGTTGTCATTTGCCAGGATGCTGAGTGGGCTCAGGCACGAGGTGAAAGGGCTCAACCTATGGCATTTTGCCTCTCTGTGCTAGGAACTAGAAACGTGACAGTGCATGAGCCTTCCCTGCAAGAACTAGTGAAAATAAATGGATAATTTTCCAAAGATTATGGATTCTTTTTATTTATATATTTTTAAAGATGTTTAAATATTTAGAATGTGTGTAAGTTGTTGGAGGATGAGTTTGGCTGGTATTCTCTAAGTTCTATATAGTGCCTCATGGATTGGCAAATAGGTAGAGGAAGGGAAGTAGTCAGATTTAGTGTTGAAGGTACACATGAGCACTGTTTCACACATAAGCAACTCAGTGAGACCCTGTCTCTAAATAAAAAATTCAACAACAACAACAAAATGGGCTGGGGATGTGCCCCAGTGATTAAGCGCCCTTGGGTTCAATCCCCAGTGCCAAAAGAAAAAAGAAAAAAAAAGGATAAAACAGAAAAGCAAGGTGCATAAAAAGGATAAAATAGGTGAGGTCTTGTTCTTATGTCTGTYGTTGAGTGGGTACAGGTGAACCCAGGACCTCATGCATGGTGGGCAAGTCCTCTACCACTGAGCTACATTCCTGGCCCTTTTTATTTTGAGACTGGGTCTTACTAAATTGCCCAGGCTGGCCCAGTCCTGCTGCTCAGCCTCCCCAGTAACTGAGGTGATAGACATATACCACTGTGCCYRGCTTGTTCTTAAATATTATCCAGTATTTGCCACATGCCCACTGCGTAGCAGACAGTGATCTACCATGCAGGGTGTAATAGGAAAAAACTGAAAGAGCTGACATCTCAAGGAAAGACTGGTTGTTGTTCTTCAGAAACTAAAAGATTAAAACTGAGTAAAAGAAAACTTTGGTGGAAAGTTCTACTTGAAAAATCAAAATCACTTGTGAGTATTTTAATGTGTTTTGTCTTTTTTGATTTTTTTTTTTTTTTTTTAGAAAATGGCTCCAGTGGTCAAATGAAGCTGGAAAAATATATAGATGCAGCACTGCGGCCTTTCCAGATGTTTGAGTGTGATACTCCAGTGAGAAATTGATCCCTTGGATTAGGTAACTAGTCATAATGAAGAAAATTAGTCTTAAAACCTTCCGGAAGTCTTTTAATTTGAATAAAAGTAAAGAAGACACTGATTTCATGGTAGTACAACAGCCATCCCTAGCCAGTGACTTTGGAAAAGATGATTCCTTGTTTGGTAGCTGCTACGGTAAAGATATGGCCAGCTGTGATATCAATAGCGAAGATGAGAAAGGTGGGAAAAGCAGATCCAAGAGCGAGAGCCTGATGGGGACCCTGAAGAGGCGACTTTCTGTGAAGCAGAAGCCCAAGGGCAAGGGCAGCACGCCCTCGGGGGGCTTGGCTGAGGAGGACACCTTCTCCTCCTCCTCGGCTCCTGTGGTCTTCAAGGACRTCAGAGCTCAGAGGCCCATCAGGTCCACTTCCCTCCGCAGTCACCACTACAGCCCCACGCCCTGGCCCCTCCGGCCCACGAACTCTGAGGAGACCTGTATCAAAATGGAGGTGAGGGTCAAAGCTTTGGTCCACTCTTCCAGTCCAAGTCCTGCGCTGAACGGGGTTCGCAAGGATTTCCATGACCTTCAGGCTGAAACTGTGTGCCAGGAGCAGAATGGTTCCCTCAAGCGTTCAGATTCTCCCCACGGAGACTTGCATCTCCACCTGGAGGAACATGTGCCTGTAGTTATTGGACTTGTGCCTCAGGACTACATTCAGTACACCGTGCCTTTAGACGAGGGGATGTGTCCTTTGGAAGGATCGCGCAGCTATTGTCTGGACACTTCTTCGCCCATGGAGGTCTCTGCGGTTCCTCCTCAAGTGGGAGGGAGCTCTTTTGCCGAAGATGAGAATCAGGTAGACCAGGACCTAGTTGTTGCCCCAGAGATCTTTGTGGACCAGTCAGTGAATGGCTTGTTGATTGGCACCACAGGAGTCATGTTGCAGAGCCCCAGAGCAAGTCATGATGAGGTCCCTCCGCTCTCGCCATTGCTACCTCCAATGCAGGCTAATCAGATCCAAAGGAACTTCAGTGGGCTCACGGGCACAGATGCCCATGTGGCTGAAAGTATGCGCTGTCATTTGAATTTTGATCCTAACTCTGCCCCTGGGGTGGCAAGGGTTTATGACTCTGTGCAAAGTAGTGGTCCCATGGTTGTGACAAGCCTTACGGAGGAGCTGAAGAAACTTGCAAAACAAGGATGGTACTGGGGACCAATCACACGCTGGGAGGCAGAAGGGAAGCTAGCCAACGTGCCCGATGGTTCTTTTCTTGTTCGGGATAGTTCTGACGACCGTTACCTTCTAAGCTTGAGCTTTCGTTCCCATGGTAAAACACTTCACACTAGAATCGAGCACTCGAATGGTAGGTTTAGCTTTTATGAACAACCAGATGTGGAAGGACATACGTCCATAGTTGATCTAATCGAGCATTCAATCAGGGACTCTGAAAATGGAGCTTTTTGTTATTCAAGGTCTCGGTTGCCTGGATCTGCAACCTACCCCGTCAGACTGACCAATCCAGTGTCACGGTTCATGCAGGTGCGTTCTCTGCAGTACCTCTGTCGTTTCGTTATACGTCAGTATACCAGGATAGACCTGATTCAGAAACTGCCTTTGCCAAACAAAATGAAGGATTATTTACAGGAGAAGCACTACTGAAAGATTGAGAACCCTGCATCTTGCACTTTGGGAATAAGAAAAAGAGATTGAGATACAGTTTACAACTTTCATTGCCATCAGAATCTTTTGCTGCCATAACTATTTTAATTTTATGTGTAAGAGTCAACAGTTTGTTGAGGGGTGGGGAAGTGTCTGCAAGGTGTCTTGGGTTTATTTTGGTTCTTTAAAAAGGGATGTCTTGAGGTTCTAGAAGTGTGAATTATCTTTCATTAGTGTGCAGAATAATCACAATGTGAATTATCAGATTCTCCTTGATGCCCCCCCCCCGTCCTTTGCTGCTATCCACTGTGATTTTTATGCATTAAAAGCACATTTCATGTGTCTTCAACCCTAAGTAAAGTTGAATGAAACTTACAGAATGAAAATTACTTTGTCTTTTTAAATGACCCATTTTCAAAAGTTAGTGTTGAATGAACGTGTGATAAAACTATTTACATATACACTGAAAATGACTTTTTAATGTCATACTTCAAAAAGATTTATTTAGAATTATTAATTGACATCATCTTAGTTAATGGGATGCAAATTTGCCACATATCTTTTCAACTTCTAAATTATTTTTAAGGTTGTGCTAATATTTTGGTTGTGAAAACTTTGTGTTTTTCTGTTGCCTTCATTTTCATCTTGTGGTTTGTCCATTTTAATAAATGGCCTTACATTTAAGAGTCATAAAGAGATATATACCACAAATTTAGCAATCGTGGCCTTTTCTGTCATTAAACCCGGGTACAAATTGGCATAATGKAAAGACCTATAGACTGGAACAGTGACTACAGAAGTGAGATCAGTTCCCGTGAGAGCGTTGTTTTCATGTTGCCTGCACTGTTCCTTTGGTTAAATGTTTAATCTGTGATTTCTTTAGTTTAGTCAACACATTCTTGGGTGAACTTGATTGTACAACTAATTTTCATTAATGGACTGGATTCTCTTAACAATGTTAAAGTTTATAAAAAGTTTGAAATTGATTTGAATAGAAAGAAAAGATTGCTTTAAAGTTGGATTTATATTTTTCTTTTATGTAGTCACAATAAAATGTGCTAGATTTGACTTCTCTTTTCCCCTGCCTCCAATAAAATCAACCCTTAGTGACTTGAGTTGAAAAATTTTGGAAATTGTGGAGCATCACATGAGAAAAGATGAAAACAGTACTATAGATACACAGATGCCTGCCTCCTTGCAGGATCCACTGCAGTTTCGGAATAGGCTTTTCATTTATTTGTTATTTTCATTGAACCAAGTCTAGAGTAATTTGGCCTCCCGTTTTTTTCTCTTTTTGAGTAAGTCAATGGGAAGGGATATTATGCCTGAGAATTTTTAGTTATTTTGGAATGTGGAGTGTTTGTTCACTTTGTAATTCTGCAACATAGTCTAATTTTCAGATTGTTCCATTCAGAAACCATTCCCAGCTAAACAAGCCTTAAAGCAAAATGCTGGACATTTCTTCCTGTGTCACTTTAAGTTTTCCCATGTCTTCCCTTCTTTAAAACACAAGGGTAAAGGTCTTTGGTCTATGGCTGGCATTGTCATCTAACATCTCTGTATCCTCACTTTTTAATTAGTTTTTGTTTTTTTGTGGGGGGCGGGGGTGGAGGTGCTGGGGTTCATGCTAGGCACATGTTTTATCACTGAGCTACATCCCCAGCCTCTCTGGTTTTTTTTTTAAGAGACAGAACTGAGATATTACAAAGGAAAGGCACAATGCCATATCACAGTGTTTGGTATTTTGACTTAAATGGGGAAAGGTACTTCATTTTGGTGGGACATTGATTGTACCTTGTTACAAAGACTCCTTTCATTTTTTGATGTTTTCACCTAATAAGATGGAATATGGTGTATTCTATAATAATATAATTTAAGTGTTCACTATAAGCTATTTGGATTAAGAACTATTACAGAGTTGTAACCTTGTGATCAGATTGATGCAAGACATTTAACTATTTTTGCAAAACTATTTATTTTTAAACAATTTGAAATATATCTAGAAGTCCTTGTGCATCCATGTTAGATGGCAGGTATTGTCACAGTCACTTGTGCTGATGGTAAGTGTTGAGATGGCTTCTTTGTGTCTGTCTGTCCTCGGTGAGCTGGCGGTACAGAGGCCTTGGGACCTCACCTAACCAATCTCTGTGGATGTAGCCTGTCCCTGCATTTTCTCATAATGCCATGTGCTTAAAATATGCCCATGTGGTGTCAGGATTATTTTGACCTTTATCCAAATGTTTTTTAAATTGTATTTTGTGGTTTTTTGGAGGGCAAGTCAATACTGTTCTAATTTGGAAAAACAATTTTTATGTACTTTGGTATTATTCATAATGCAAAATACCTTAAAGTAATATGCCCTATTATAATTCAACTTGAAATTGTTACATTCTTATAGTATATAGATAAAAATCAAAGTATTTGCCCAGAAATTAAATTTGCAAACAGAAATGTATATTGCAGAATTTGCTGCTTATGTGTAGAGAGGTACCTCTTTTRACCTAGGCAGTTTGACATAATGTGGAAGATTGGCTTTTCTGATACTGAAATGGTCTGGTAAAAGTGGAAAGGGGAGAAAGAGAGAAATCTTTATCCTATAGCTTGGTCTAGATTCTATTTGTGGATTCTGTTGAAAGGGAACTTAAGTGACATGGACCCAACTTGTAAGTGATTCTCAAGTATGTACTTTAAAAGAAATCAGACCTCCTGGAAAACAGGAAGCTGTGTCCATTTGTGACAGTAAATGGATCAGAGGTAATTTTTTTTTTAAATCAAATATTTCATCATAGAGCTTGGTGGAGGCTGGAAGCTATTTTGAGGCTTATTATGACAATGCATTTTTATAAATGAAAAGAAAGCTGTGGAACGTACTTGAAAAATGTCTCCTTTCTCTAAGAAAAACCGTTTTCTTTCTGCTTGGTGCAATATGAAAATTTAAAAAGTCACACATTATATCACAGGAAATGACCTAGAACTAAAAATAGTTTTAAGGAAACCAGCTACCCAGGGCAGCCCTCTTGCCATTGAAGAAAATCACGTGCCAAAAGGCAAAATCATTGGCATATAGGAAATGAAACACAAAGTATATGTTATATTTTCTGAGCCAGTATTATTGAAACAGGATAAAAGTTACTAAAATCTTAAATAGGTTTATGCAATGTCTCCTAGTGCCACAGGTCTATCTTTCTAACAATGCTTTCAGGAATGCCAATTTTAATTATTGTACGTGTCACATAGTATATGAGAGATATTGCTTTATGAATGATTCAAAATAATATATTTTGATTTAAAACTTAATTGCTTTTCATTGAATGTGAAATATTAATTTGAAAGTGAAATCACACTACCAGCAATAGATAGTTTTGTTGAATACTCTAATAAGGAACAATAGCCAGTTCCATAAATAACTTTAAAATTCTAAGAGTATTGGTATGCTAGTAATCACAGATTTGGTTTCTTTTAATACTTTTTTAATCCTATAAAAAACGGTCTTTTATAAACATCCTTTTTATTGATCAATCATAACATGGCAAAATGTGTATGTAGTCACTGTTCCTGAAAAGTTATCCAAATGCTACATCCAGAGATGATGAGAAATTCTTATAGAATTTTGTAATAGTATATATGTTGGGTTAAAGAAATTTCATAGTTGTTGGAGTGCCATGAAATTAATACTTGCAATCCAGATTGCTGTAGTTTACACTTTTTCTGTATGTTTCAAATCAGGTGTGTACCATTTGTACTGAGAACACCACAGAAYGAACTATCCAAAGTCCATTGATTTTAATATGTGTTTTGGTTTGTAAACAAATTATAGTAATTTCTTGCACATTTTTGGAAATTAATTGTATAAGAGTTTATTGTATCTGCTCCTAGATACAGTGTGTAAATAAAAATTTCGTTCACAAGATCTCTCTGGTAGTCTATTTAAAATTCTGGTATGGTGTCTAATTTGAATTAGTATCTGGTTAGCTAGGTTAGCTAGGCAGATTCTGGATGTCCCATAAACTGGTCAGATACTGGAGAGTGGGAGCCACTAAGTTTTGTTGTAAAAAGGGAAAAATAAAATTCTTTCACTAAAGGAAGATGTCCACAGTGGTGCTGATGTGCCAAACACCAGAATTGAGCAAGCAGGAGAACATCTAACCAAACAGAAAGACTGAATTCAAACTAGCACACTAAATTCAAACTCTTTCACTCAAAGAGGTCCAGGATGGGTGATAAAGTGTTCGAATTGTGATATTTAGGAAACATGTCCCTTCTTAACAGTATTTTGTGGAAACAGAACCGGCCATGTAGATGCATGTRTCTAGAGGTCATTTAGCAATCCTTTTACTAATAAGATTTCTCAGRTCTACTGGATTTAACTTTATGCTTTTAAAATTCTTAAACATGTTGGGTAAACATTTCTTTTAAAATTTYGTTCTATATTTTTAATGAACCACTTTTAAAATCATGGCGGGGCTGGGGATGTGGCTCAAGTGGAAACGCACTCGCCTGGAATGCACGGGGCACTGAGTTTGATCCTCAGCACCACATGAAAATAAAGGGGTTGTGTCCACTGAAAACTGAAAAATAAATATTTAAAAAAATTTTCTCTCTCTAAAAAAAAATCATGGCTATTCAAAGATGAATTTTAGCCTGATTATGTACAGAATGTTAGATATTTTGACTTTAATAGAATCCAAAAAAATGTGGAGCTGTAATCTTAACATTCTCCAGAGCTGTCACCAGTTGACAATGTTAGTGTCATACTTTGGGTTAGCAGAGGAGAATGGTCAGGGCTCAAGAACTGGGAAGAGACTAGACATTTACTTACGCCATGAGCAGGAAAATGGATTTGTTCTTTTTAGTTATACATGGCAGTAGAATGTATTTTGGCATATTATTCATACCTGGAGAGGAAAATTGATTTTAAAAACATAATGCAGATGTTTATTTTCTTGAATGTAATACATAAAATATTGCAAGAAGACAACAGCTTCATACTACCCCTTATTTCCCAATCATTTTATTCTTTGATAATTAAAGCCCCACATGAAGTAAAAAACTTAGCCAAAGTAGTGTCTTTATGATGTTAKGTCATAAAGATCCCCAAACCTATATCCAGATTATATACAACTCCATTCTTAGGTTAAGCAAGAGTAGTGATCCCATCGAGGGCTTTGTATGAACAGACACCGAGGACAAGACTGAACTGCTTTTATTGGTATGGAGACCAAAGTGGGAGGTGCAGACCTAGACAGATCCCTAAGGATGTGCTTAGGAGAAGAATACTGAGAATTATAATCATCTCCAATTTCACCAACACGGGTACAAGTCCTCCAAGATAAGGGTGGCTACTTCCAGAAGAGCAGGTAAGGCAAAAATGATGCAGCCCCCAGCGAGTCCTGTCRCACCTGGTGGTGAAGGCCCGAGTTCACCATGGCCAGAGCTGGAGGGCAGARGCCTTGCTTGAATTGCAGCCTGGGCATACACAGTGGTATGGATGGCTGGATGGACAGAGATCTCCACAGATGGATTCTTCATAGTTGTCTGGTGCCCTGTGGATTTATTCTTTCTTGAATGAAGTTTTTATTCTCATTCACTTCCTCTTGAAGTTCATTCAACCAGGTAGAGAAAGAGGAAGTTGCTGCTGTCCATCCTCGTTCCTGGGAGGTGCTTGCAGTCCCAGATGTCCACCCACAGGAGCGTGAGAGTGGACATAACAAGATGAAAGACCGGCTGCTCCAATGGCAGATGGTTCACTGAACACAAAGGCCCCCCTGAAACATCCACAGCTCATCATTGTGCTTGCCTTGTAATATTTCTTCCCTCATAGTTTTTACTTCTACTTTTCTTAGGCTTTTGACTGTGGATTAAAAGTAGTTTAACCTGTATTTCAGTTGAATTTAGCTGTCTTGAGTCTGTTATTTTGACCTCCAGTGCAGTTTTTATATTTTTCCAAATCTTTAGGTTTGTTTAGAATTTATTGTATTAAAAAAAGTAAATTCTCTTCATATTTTTGCACCTTATTTGCATTTTCAGTTTGAAGGGTTTCCAAGCTGAACCACCTTTTTWAAAAAAATGTATTTTTTTAGTTGTAGATGGACACAATATCTTTATTTTTATGTGATGCTGTGCATCAAACCCAGTGCCTCAGGCGAGCACTCTACCACTCAGCCCCAGCCCCAGCCCTAAACCACCTTTTTAAAGAAATTTGGCCCATGTTTCCTTTCTTTTCTCCTTTTGTGTGACTGGTCTTGCTACTAGATAAGAATCTCTTTTGGCACTTGCTACTTTGTCCCCTCCCCCGCAACCTGGAGGGACAATATTCACAGACCTTCAACTATGAGAAGTTCCRCTGCTGCGTTGTCTTCCAGGCCACCTGCTTCTTTATGGAGAAAGGATTTGATGGAATGGAAGCACTGGTTCATGACATTTACACAATACAGTTCTCATAGGATGATCAGTCACGAGCCCAGTCATGCAAGCCCGAAGCAACCTTGTTTTCTTGTGGTCGGCAAGTGTTGAGAACTATTTTTCACAATTACCATGCTGAAGTACCTCTGGGGTGTGACAAGTTCCTAGAAAACCAATAGATGCATATTTTCAAATAGAAGAATCATAGCTAGTGAGAAAAGAAAGCTTTTCTGGAATCTAAGTAGTAGGAATAGAAAAAAATTAGAGGGCTGGAATTTGTACAAAGTCTTGATAGCAAAGATGTAACTGTGCTTAGTATCTATGTTAATACCTAACATACATAACTCATGTTTTCAAAAATAGACCTAAGTAAGGAAGGTACCCTTGTCTTCTTTTTATAGATAAGGAAACTGAAACACCCATGTCAACCTTACCAAGGTCACAAAGGTTAAGTGACAGAGCCAGATTACAAATTTAATCTGGTTCCAAATGCTGTTATTTATTATGTTTCTCTTCAGGGTTTTATATTTAGGATATTCATTTCTGTGGTTGTCAGGGAAAAGAACTTCAGTCTAAGTAAACAAATTACTTCTTTCTCCTCCAGGGAACTATTTTATTCTGGAGCTTAAAAAATAAGTCTATATAAGTAATGCCAGAGATAACCATTTATGGTAGCCGGGATGGTAGCATAGCTGAAGGGCTTTATCTTTTATTGACGAGGATGGGGAACACTGTTTTTCTTTTCTGRCCTTGTAAAGATTGACAAACTACCTTATATGTTAATATGGGAATAAGATTTGGTTGAGTACAATCATAACTCTTGAGAGGATTTCTCTATGTGATTAGCACAAAAGGAAAARTGCTCACTCTGCTTTTTTGCTGATGT